AGTAAAAACACTAATATATCAAAATGGTTCTCTTTTTATAAATCAATCGCATTTCTGGCTAGTATATTTCAGGACGAATGGATAAGGATTGAGCCAAGAGATTGTGTGAGCAAATCCAATTTTTGGCAGCAAATGTCACTTACGCGTTTTTGCAGAATGACGATACGCGGTTTTGTACTTTAAACGACGATATCCTTCAAAGAAAAGCACCAATGGAAAAAGTTCTTCCTGAAAGAATTTATTTTGAATCGTGCTTCAGCTTGCCGACTGAAGAGTAGAGATCATTCAATTTTATGCATTTTTTCTGGAACATAATCCAGACATTTTCCCCTTAATACTGAATGAATAGCTTTTTCCCTGTAAATCATCTTCAACATCCGTTTGCACAAAGAAAAATATGACTTAGTTTCTATGCTAAGGGTAAAACAGACGAAAAAACAACGAAAATTCCACTATGATTTCTCATCGATTTTATGTGTAAACCCTTTACTCCATTTATAATAAAATAGACAATGAATTGAAGTATGTATGCATTTCCCATGTTTTCTCAACATGTGGGTTCAAATCCTGTGGAACGTACACTTATTCTTATTTTTTTATTTTTTATTTTTGATCTTTTTTCTTATTTTGTTTTTATTTTTTTCATTATTTATTTTATTTTATAGTTATGTATTCTTATATTTTATCTCAGTTTTAAGATTGCGCTCTCACAGCTAGTACTTATTGAAAAGGTTTAACAAACCTATGTAATGTGGGCAAATAGGGTTTGTATTTCATTGAAAATAACTGATGTGATATCTTCTTGAATTTATTAAAAGTTTTTCTTCATACTATTATGTGATGTCTTCTTGAATTTATTGAAAATTTAAATGAATATTATTTATTAAATAGAATACGGTCGTTAGGCGACCACCGTAGCCGAGTAGGTATTTAGAGCTACAGACTGCAATTCAGAAGGCCACGGGCCGACAGGTCAGCGCAGAATAGTTTTTTATTTTAAGTTTCTATTTTTAGCCTTTATTGGGCAAGCTAATAAAAATCGAGAGAATTCCTTCATGATTTTATTCTTCTTGATATCTTGTTGGTGATGTGGTGGTGTTCGCTCTGTGTGAGATTTTCTTCTGTTTTCTAGATTTTTTTTTTTCAAAGGCTAAACATTTTTGTTGAGGAATTTTAAAGTTCAAAATTTCCTTTTCTATAATAAACTTTGTAATGATTGAAGCTCGAATAACCTTGCTACGATTACTTTTCTGTATTAAAAGAGTAAATTTTGAAATATGTAATTTAAAAAATAAAATTATAGTTATAAAAGAACATATTTAATTATTTGTTTTTTATTGAGTGATAAAAGTAAAAAGTATAAGTTTCTATTTTAAGCAATTATAAAAGTAATTTTGCAAACCATTTTCTCTGCAGAGCCGCTATTTAAATAAAAACCATAAATAGCACCTTTCTTGGAACCAATGAAACTAAAAATAAATAATATAAAAAAACTTTTTAATATACAACGCTTTTATAAATGGACTAAAAAGTAGAAAATAATATTTCTCAGTCCCATAGAATTTGTTTTGATAACTTTTGATTTTGAAATTTTAGCAAAAGTCATTATAAACAATCTATGAAATTGAAAATGAAAAGCGTGGGGCGCATGTAATACACTTGAATTGATATGAAAAGTAATATATGTATGTATGTATGTGGGTATATGAATAACGACCGCTTAAAATCGATTTCAAAGTTCTACTTTCGCTGTAGAAATTTTAGGTCTACGTTATGTAGTTTGACTATTGTCAATTAAATCGAATGCTTTGTATTGCATGCGCTCCACGTTTTTCATTTTCAATTTCATAGATTGTTTATAATGACTTTTGCTAAAATTTCAAAATCAAAAGTTATCAAAACAAATTCTATGGGACTGAGAAGTATTATTTTCTACTTTTTAGTCCATTTATAAAAGCGTTGTATATTAAAAAGTTTTTTTTATATTATTTATTTTCTACTTTTTAGTCCTGTCTGAATAAAATTTTGCAATAGATATTAAAATAATTCAACGATATTAATAGAAAGGTGCACACACATGCATTTACATATGTATGTACATACAAACGAGCACCAATTAATTTTATTTAAAGAAATGGCGTGTCGTCTATTTCCGCTGTAGCAAACGTAGTACATAGGGCGACATCTAGATGTCATCTACCTCGCCCTATTCACTACAGCTGTCGCCCTATGCACTATGCTTTTTTATAGGAACTTTTCAAAGCTTTGCTTTGGTGTCGGACACACAACATTGAAAGTTTCTGGATCCACAACATTGAAAGTTTCTGGACACACAACATTGCAAGTTGATAAAAGCGTTGTAACGTTGTAATAATGTAATCATACAGCTTTACTTCAAAAACTTGCATTGCCATCATCACATATTTATTTACATTAGTAGCAATGTAATTGTTTATGAATCTCTAACGATATTTCTAAGACATTAGATATCTTATTTACCAGTCTGCTTTTATACTTTTTTTCTACTACCCACCATTAGCAAGTGTGTTTATTTGCTTAGCTGAGTGCGCGCTGGGCGGCATACTTTGATGTTAGGTAGCACTGTCTGCGCGTTCACTACATTGCCGTACATTTTCCCACTATGACTTTGATAGTCGAACTTTGAAAACACCTACAAACATACATATGTAGAGATGAGGCACGTCTGTGCCTGCCAAAGTATGCCTGTGTGTGGCGCTAAACATTTCTACTTTTTCTACTCATGTTAGCTATTTCTTTTTCAAATGGTGTTTCCATTCACTAGTCGCTTGTGACTAACAACAAAAAAGGCCTAACGCGCGCCGCACCACTTCCATAGTCACTTTGTATATTAGTTTTAGTATTTTTATTCTCATGAATTCAATAAAAAGTAATTTTATGGCGAAAAAGTGGTTGTAGTCAGTTGGCTGCCAGCCATTTGCTGTTCACTCCGCGTCAGCGATTTGCGGGCTAATTGCATCAACACATTTATTTTTCAAGCGCGGCAACATGAAAGCGTTTTGATTCCGTGGACATCCGCCGCTTTGTGCGGCCAAAGTGTTTGCTCCCCTTTTTCTATTCTATAGCTTACATTATAATTAGTGTAAATTTGTTTTATTTTTAAGCAGGCTTTGAAGTGTGGTATTTCTATATAATGAGTATTCATGTAGTTCCTCTTCGCTGTATAGGATATGATTTTTGGACGCAAATTGCAAAAACTTAACTAGTGATTTCTTAAGCCTTCTGGGTTTCAAATAGGTCTGTTTGTAATAATAATAATATCCCAACGGTTTTTACCCTCCATTCCCGCCCATCCGCACGAGGGGCGCAGTCCGCATGACGTACGGAACCGTATGACTGTTATAGTTTCTGAAGATCCATTAAATCCAATGCATATTGAACTTACACATAGGGAATATTTAATGGCATTGTTCTCGATGGTCGAGTCTATGTGCATCTCGGTTAACTGCCTGACGGCTATATGAGCAATCACTTTAACGAGAGAGCTGACGAATAACTCCGACATTTTTTTTATTAATTGGATAAAAAACAGGCCAAAAACTCAGACGGCGATGGATTAGTAGTAATTTAATTCGAATTTAATAAAATATGTACTTTGATATAATTTTGAACGGAAATCTTTTGTAGAGTTTCAAAGCTTACCTTATCCTTGTAAGTAATAGATTGTCCGCTTTTAAGGGAGCTTATATTTCCAACAAAGTTGTTAGTATTAATATTAGGTGGCATTGATAGGGACATTGAGTCCCTATATGAGAGTCATATGGTTGTGAAATAATCTAAGTAAAAGCATCTAAAAAAAAAAGAAAATTCATTTCATTAAGGAAGATTTAGATGAAAATATTTTTTTATGAGATGTAAATATCTAGTTAAGAACTATAAAAATGTTTTAACCTATGCCAATTACGGAAAAGTTTGTTGATTTCTAGCACTATTTAAATCTGCCATTTTACGCCAAATCTTCCCACGTTCCTTTGTCTTTAGCCAATTTACACGTATGCATACGTTTTTTATAATCTTGGACAAATTTCTTTTTTGACGGCTAGAGAATTAATGGGCATATTTTGGTTGTTACAGCCGTTGTGCCACTTGAGTGCTTAGTGCGCATGTCAACAACTTCTTGTTCATTCACTTTTCTTAATATGAAACACAAATATTTAGTATTAAGATATTGTTCAAGTCAGACAAGAATCTCATGAGGGCAGAATGTGTTGATTTACAATTGTTACAAACTTTTAAAAACACAGCATGTGATGTTCCAAAGCCTGAGATGTAATGTATGAAGTACATTTTTTAATCTTAACACAATTTCTTGTTAAATTTTTTACCAAACGCATAAGCCTTGACGGCCAACTCATACACATTTTTCAGATACGTGAATTCCGTAAAACGCATCAGCCTTGACGGCCAACTCATACAAATTTTTCAGATACGCGAATTCCGTCAAACGTCAGCTTCACTCACATGTCCACGTCAATCTAGAGCGCAGCTTCAAAATCAATGTCCATGTGTGTTGGCATTTAAACAAAACAAAAAGCAATATTCCAGAGTTTACCTTTCCTAAGATTCACTGAGCATTTCATTGTTGTCTGCTACACTAATTTGATGCGTAAATAATGGTTTGCTTTTTGTGCCTCTGCTCGCTTTTTGCACACTTTGCACCCTAAAGCTTTTAATCTCCACTTTTTAGTGCTATACTTAAGCCTTTACATCTGTTTACTTGTCTCACTTACTTGCTTCCATTGAAGTGCTGTTGTACCGCCAAACTGCATAAAAACTGATATATTTCCATACTTTTATTTTACTTTATCTGAGCGCGGCACTATGATGCCAGAGCCTGGATCATAAAAGACATGAATTATTAAACTTCGGTTTACCTTTAAATTTTTTTACATAAATACATTAGCTTTTATTCCATTTTCTTTTCCATCCATACTAACAAACTGCTTTTTCTTTCTTTACAGATGGCGAAGCTGCTGCCCCTCATCCAATCGACTTGCTCTAACCGTGCTCGCTTCCTGCTCTGCTCTTCGCTCTTTCCACTTTGTACACCTGATGTACCGCGACCCGTCACCGCCTGCAAACAACTCTGCGAGAATGTAAAAAGTGAGTGCGAGTCGCATACGGAGCTTATGCAATTATGGCCCGACTTTCTCAACTGCGACACTTTACCTCAGCCGGAGAAACACGAACTTTGTATGCAAATTCCACAGGAGTCCGAAAAATCGCAGGACAGTCTGCAGCCACATCCGCCATCACTGCAGGCGCACTACGAACAACCATCGCAATTTTACTGGCCCTGGTCTGTTTGGAAAATGCCGCCACATCTAAGCAAGTCCATTGCGCCCACAGCAATTTGCCCACTCAACTTCACCGCCGACCCGTTAAATGCAGATCTGTGTGTGCCTCAATGCAACCGCGATGCGTTTCATTCAACTCAACAAAAGAAAGTCGCTGAAAGCCTCATATTAGGTCTCTCCGCTGTTTGCTTCGTTTTGACGTTATTTTCGCTGGTTACTTTCTGGGCGGAACCGACACGTTTCGGGTACCCAGAACGTCCAGTGCTCTTCCTTTGTCTCTGCTACAATCTCTTCAGTGTTTGCTACCTGGAACGCATAGTCTTTCACAACTCTACACGTACACTAGCGGTGCTTGAGGATCCTCTAGGCAAAGTCAGCCCACCATGCACCATCTCACCGCCCTGCCTGGCTTCATACATAACAACGAGTTACCTCAGTTTGTGCGCGGCCACTTGGTGGCTCATATTTGCGCTGTGTTTCTTCCTCTCCTCGCATCAGAAATGGTCAAGTGAGGCGCTTGAGAAGAAGTCAGGTCTATTTCATGTTCTTGCCTGGGTGCCACCGCTTGCTCCACCAATCGCCGCGCTACTAATGGAAAAGGTACGCCCCAACGAGTTGACAGGCATGTGCACGGCTTTCGGATTTGTGGAGGTCCCTGCCGTGGTGCTTTTGTTGCTTGGTATCTTCTTCACTGTTCGGGCCTCCAGATCGCTGCACGCGCTTGAGCAACAAATGAAACCCACTTTTGGGCATCAACGCTTTTCGCAGATACGGAAACGCTTTCTTATATTTGCGCTGCTCTTCTTCATGCCCACCATAGCTGGCGTGATAACATCGTTTTTCGAGCGCTATATTGACTCGGTACCTGCCTGCTCTACCCACGAAGATTGTGCTCTCCCGGAACAGCGCAAAGCCTGGACGACGCTCTTGAGAATATTTTTCCAGTTAGCTGGTGGCACTTTGACTGGTATGTGGGTGTGGTCGCGAAAGACATGCGAATCGTACCGAAGTCGGCTGGTAACCACGCCAACTTCCTCCACAACTACAAAGTCGATATCTTCATTTCCGAAGAACCATCTGCACACGAATGGCAAATCTGTGAGCAGCACGCTGTATAGCGGTATTAACTTCCACAATGTACCGGTGTATAACCTGAATCAAGCGCGAGTGTAGCGGTCAATGGATGTGGTTGGAGCAGCCAATGATCCAACACAGCAACAACAAAAGCCGATGCAAAACAGCCGGAATAGGGAGGGTATATATACATTGGGATTATATCTGTAAGCCTTTGCAACTAAGTTGGACGCGTGGNTATATACATTGGGATTATATCTGTAAGCCTTTGCAACTAAGTTGGACGCGGTTCAAACAATCCTTAGTTTGTAGATAAAATTTCAGTTAGGTTGGTTGTTTAATTTTTTAAGGCTCGAATGTTAGTTTCTACTTTTATAATGTTGGTATTTTAGGTTATTTAAAAAATGTTATTTGTAAATTCTATTAATACTTAGGTATGGCTGAAGATACGTTCTGTTAACGCTATATACTTTGTATACTCTTCTCGGTCATGAAATTTTCGATGAGTTAGTTTTTGTGCGAATGCATGTACTAAAACTCTAAACTATTTTGATGAAATGTGTTAATAGCTTTAAAATCTCGGTAGATAATATTAGATATATTTATTTAAACGTTATATCGTTAGATTTATGAGATACAAATATATGTAAATAAAAATCATAAAACCGTTGGTATTAAACAGGTCTTTAACAGGCATACATATTTATGCTAATGTATGTAAATAAAATTTAAATTTACTTAAATAAGAAATAAAAATTATTTTTTTTTTCAAAACTAATTTGGATAAACGATTTCTTTTTTTAATTAATTTAATCCTGCGTAGAACAAACTTTCTATGAAAGACGCGAATTTTGCTTGACACTGTAACCGCTTAAGCGATTTGGGCAACGATACCAAGAAAGAACGCCCGGCGTTTTTCTTCTGTGCCACCTGACGCAAATTAGAAATGCAAAGCCTTTATCCATCTGGTCTTTTTGCAATAAAAAGTCTAAAATCAGGTCTTCCTCTACTACCACCAGCGAGTACCGCGTTGAATACTTTTGTACGACATGACTAAGCCAGCGGACTATGTCAATAACTTTCTAAGCATCATACATAATATGACCAACCGTACTTCTTTCGGGAGTACAGTACTTCTTTTTCAGGTTGTACTTCGTACTTCGCAATACAGTCAAATGTACTTCTTTGCAATATTTTATACTTCAGGTCCTGTACTTTTCCGACATTCTGGACGATCGTCACATGGCCTAGGCGATAAATTCGTTCAAACCCTTCACGTCGCCTGACCGATGGCATCATACCTGTGCAGCTGCAAAGGGCTCTGGAGGTGTCGTCCAATTGGATGGATCCCAAGGATTGGAGCGTAGTCAGGGTTGCGTTCATACCTAAGGTCGGAAGAGGCTCTCATGTTTTCCCTAGCGATTTCAGGCCTAGCAGTCTGTTTTAGTTTTTACTAAAAACGCTAGAGAGTTTGATAGACCTACACATAAGAAACGCGACTCCTCGTGACTGTGTTTCAAAAGCTCAACTTAATTTTTNTGTTTTCCCTAGCGATTTCAGGCCTAGCAGTCTGTTTTAGTTTTTACTAATAACGCTAGAGAGTTTGATAGACCTACACATAAGAAACGCGACTCCTCGTGACTGTGTTTCAAAAGCTCAACTTCATTTTTCAATGAAAGATATGTGGATTCCGGCCTACATATATTGGTAAAGTGGGTGGAGAAAGCCTTCATGCATAAATATTATGCAGTAGGGCCGCCTTCTTCGATATCGAGGGGCCTTCAACATTGTCACTCGAGATGCCATTGTAAAGTGTATTCATAATATGGGGATTGAAACCAACCTAATAAGGCTTATCTACAGCTTACTGCGTGACAGAACTGTCATGGAAAATGCGGGAGCGCCTGCACTCAGCGCAGAGTAAATAGGGGCACTCTGCAATGTGGTGTCCTACCTTCCCTGCTCTGGATTGCGGTTGTAAACAACCTTCCAGAGGAACTGGAAAAAGTTGGCTATCGGGTGATAGCCTATGCAGATGATGTGGCACTTTTGATTAAGGGACAGTTTCTTAATTAGGTGGGCGGCCTACTGTGGCCTCACAGTTATACCCAGCTAAACGAAAGTGGTCTTGCTTACCAGCAAGTACAATATGCCCGTTGTGGCCCTTCCCTCGATCGGGGGTGTATGGCTGCAGCTCTCAGACNTGCAGATGATGTGGCACTTTTGATTAAGGGACAGTTTCTTAATTAGGTGGGCGGCCAACTGTGGCCTCACAGTTATACCCAGCTAAACGAAAGTTGTACTTGCTTTCCAGCAATATGCCCCTTGTGGCCCTTCCCTCGATCGGGGGTGTATGGCTGCAGCTCTCAGACATTGACAAGTACTTAGGCTTGATCCTGGATAGGAAGCTGTCGTGGAAGCTTAACATTGCGGAAAGGGTAATAAAGGCGTCGGTTGCCTTGTACTGCTGTAGGGGAGCTATCGGTAATAGGTGAGGTCTCTCGCCGAAAGTAATTCATTGGCTCTTTGAAACCTGAGTTAAGCCTATCTTGTTTCACGGAGCCCTTCTCTGGCGGAACTAACTAATCTCTTAACGTCAGTTGGACACGGCGCTTGCAGATATTTCAGGCAGAAAGGTCGCAGCACGAACTTCTTTAGGCCCAGGGAAACCGGGTGGTTAACTGGCTCGAAAGCTGAACACTTTGTCCCTTAACACATACATTACAGCCCCACAGAAATGGCTCCCAGAAGCTCCTTTCCTACCTACATTCCCTCAAGAGTGGACTGGGTAGGGCGGGGTTACTGGAAGAAGGGAGCAGTAAACTTCTTCCTTCTGGAGATAGGGTTGGTGCGGTGTCTTCTGTCGGTAACTCCCCAAGAAAACTATGTTCAGGCTTCCGGACTTCTGCAGTGTCTTTCAGGTGGAAATAACTGCCATCAAGGAAGCGGTAGACTCAGTAGTAAAGAGTGTGACGTTAGTTAAGGAGAGCTATGACTGTGCGCTCGAAAACGGTAAAGGAATTTCTGATATCTCTATCGGAGTATTTCTTAATAAGGCTAGTTATGGGATCGGGTCATAGTGACATCGCGGGAAAATGCGTAGCTGACGTTGAAAAGGCACCCTTAATATATTATCATCAGATAAGGAGCAACAAGGAACGCCTCTGTCCTCCTGCGGTTCCCTCTTGGACTAACATAACCGCATGCGCAATTGCCAGATCCTTCTGGGCTGGGGTGGACCTTGGGAAGTCAAAGGAACTCCTTACGTCGCCATATCAACCATCTGACAATTAAGAAGATCGTAACATTTCATGCTACCATACGTAATATCTAAAATCTTTCAAATTTTATTATTAACTTTTTGTTTGTTTATAAACATTTTCTTCTTAGATTCGAAACTTGATCAAGCAAAACTCCGTTTGTTTTTGAACGAGAGATGCTCAATAAGCTCATAATTGTAGTTCTCATCATGATAAAAACATAGCAAGGTAGAACCGTTCTCTCAATTCGTCGGCCATGATTTTTTTTTGAAGTTTGCCAACATTTTAAAATCATATAAAAGTGAAAATAAAGAATTGAAATTGTTTGAAATTGTTGTTGCTTGAGATTGAAAATGAAAATGTGTGTGTGAGTTTGTGAGTAAATTTAAAAATTAAATTGTTTGGAAACGTCAAGAATTTTAAAAGTGACTCTCAGCGATTCTACCTTACTATATTTTTATCANTGTTTTTGAACGAGAGATGCTCAATAAGCTCATAATTGTAGTTCTCATCATGATAAAAATATAGTAAGGTAGAACCGCTGAGAGTCACTTTTAAAATTCTTGACGTTTCCAAACAATTTAATTTTTAAATTTACTTACAAACTCACACACACATTTTCATTTTCAATCTCAAGCAACAACAATTTCCAACAATTTCAATTTTTTATTTTCCCTTTTATATGATTTTAAAATGTTGGCAAACTTCAAAAAAAAATCATGGCCGATAAATTGAGAGAATTGCTATGTTTTTATCATGGTTCTCATTTGCATACTAACAGTGGCGGACCCAGGTAGGGGAAATTGGGGATCAACAAAATGCAAAACCGCGTATCAGCAAAATGCAAAACCGCATATGTGAAGTTGTAGAAATTATTTTCTAGAGCGTAAAAATACTCATATTTCAAAATGGTTCTCTTTTTTATAAAGCAATCGCATTTCTGGCTAGTATGTTTCAGGGCGAATGGATGAGGATTGAGCCAAGAGCTTGTGTGAGCAAATCCAATTTTTGACAGCCAATGTCAGTTACGCGGTTTTGCAGAATGACGATACGCGGTTTTGTACTTTAAACGACGATATGTATGTTAATATCTTCGTAAATATCACCAGATTCTAAATGACGTTTTTAAATAAGTACATAGGTACACAGTTTCCAACTTCTTTGTAAGAATCGATGAAATACCTAATTAGCGTAAACAAAAACATTGTATATATTTTATAATTAATATTAAACAATTAAAAACTACAGTAAATGTTTAAAAATAACCAAAATGGGAAGGATCTTAACAACTTCACAGGCAAGAAAAAATAACCAAAATTGGTTAAAAGTAGCCAAAACGGCAACACTGCCCACAAGCTACTTGTAAAAAAAACTCGGGCAAAGTTCAAACACGATCCAGAAAATAAAGGTCGCGCCATTCGCGGACCGCTAACTCTCTCTTCGTCGATTTGACAGCATTCACCCAATCGCTGACGTCATAATATACTTTTGTTTACATTCACTGTTGCCAACTTGATGCTTTTCGCTCCAAATTTAGTGGGTATTCAAAACGCGAAAATTTTTGAGTTTTGTNAACTGTGAGCGTATATCAAAGAAACTCGAAAACTTACTTGCGGAGCGCGTATATGTAACTCGAAGTGACTTCGAGAAGCTTGGGGAGCAAACGTAATGAATGGATGCTTTTGAAAATTTTAATTCATGGAAAAAGTTTGTAAAATTTCACTTGAGTTTGAAATTTTTGCTGTGTGCTAAGTTTGAAGTATTATGTTATTTAGCCTATATATATAGCCTATCAGTTTTTCGANTTATGTTATTTAAGTAGGCCTATCAGTTTTTCGAATTTACTGAATTTTCAAAATTTTGAAATTATGTACTTAATGTTCAATTTTTACTTTTTTTGTTATATTTTCGAATTTGTACTATTTTACACAGTTGAAAGTCACAGCAAGTTTGAATATTTTCACAGGTTCAGAAAACATTGAAAATTCTNTGTGTTATTTAAGTTAATCAGTTTTTCGAATTCACTGAATTTACAAAATTTTGAAGTTATGTACTTAATTTTCAATTTTCAGATTTTTTGTTATAATTTCGAATTTGTATTATTTTACACAGTTGAAAGTCACAGCAAGTTTGCATATTTTCACAGGTTCAGAAAACAACGAAAATTCCAAAATTTTGAATTTCATAACATTATTAAATTTCTTGAGATTTCTTAATTTTAGGATAATTTCCAAAATTTCAAAAACTATCGAAATCCGGGAGATTCTAGAAATTTTGGTAAAATGAGAATATTTTGAAATGTACAAAATTGTTGAGATTTTAGAAATTTTTATATTTTCCAAAATTTTGAGAATTTTATTTCTCTTAAAATCTATACTGCCAAAAAAATAACAAAAACAAATAACTTAAGGACGAGCACACCTAAAAGTTAAACATTCTAAAAATAGAATTATTAGCAA